AGGCATCGGTCGGAAAAGACAACATTCATTGAGCAGCCGTTATAAGAAATCTCTATATTAATGACCAACCGTTATACAATTATTAATAGGGGTTTTATTCTAATTCAAGAAAAGTTTGATTTGTCTCCCTGAATAGAGCTATAAATAGGAAATTTTGTATTCGTTGTTGGACATGAAACATTTTATACGCAAAAACTACAATCGACTCTTATTATATCAAATTGCTCTTTTTACGTTATTTTTAATATTGTTCTTGTTACTACTATCGGAGAAGCTAAACTCATAGCCAGGCTTGTATTACTTTTAAGTTACTTTATAATCTTATTTCTGTTCTTATTTCTTCCATATTTCTGGAACAAATTAATTCACGTGTCTATAAGCCACGTTACAAATTCAATTGTACTGTTTTAGGGGTAAATACTTTGACACCCACCGTGGGGGCATAAACAATTGTGTAATTGTTTTTGATCCATACATCTGTTATTAACAAATTTTGGTTCTTTTCTTAGCAAAAGAAAAATCATATATGACAGATAACGGTGTGAACAATGCTTACATCGTTAGCATTCTTCTCCCACTTCTTCAAATCCTTAGCATCGCAGTCAACTCTTGTTTTGGAACATCCTCACCTTCAACATTCTTCTTGAGTGTTGACAGTGAGCCACCAGTGATTATATCTCATAGCTCATAATTTTTTGCCTGCAAATGATCTCTTGTTCTTACTTTCCACTATGAGTAGCACTGGCCATTGAAGAGTGGTGGCCTAGCAGTGAATTGCCCTTCCCAATTTTTAGGTGGTACACTCATCTTGATCTTTTCCTAAGATATTAGCTTCTTGAAGGACAACTTGCTCGGATACCATATATTCATTTAGCACTCCTTTAATTTATTGCTATGAAATACTGCCTCGCTCCCAAATTAGTTGTTATGATTAGCTTCTTGAAAGTTAATTTGACTAACTTTTGAAGCTATAGATAAACTCAATATTTTAAAACGAAAATTTAGATATTCAAAATTATATGAAAAATACTACAATGTGTGTATTTTCTTATGTCCAATATGATGGAAAAATATATTTTAAATATTAGCCAAAGTTCATAAAGTTTGACTCTCAAAAATTTTGGGATGGAGAGAGTACATGTACAATCGTAATTGATGTGGCAAATTTTATATCTCTTAAATAAAGAAAGTGACCTTGAGCTGGTATTCACCCTGGACCTAGATTTGCTCATGAAGTCACAAATACGATGATGTTTTCTTTTTCGTCGTTTTGTTCTTCTATCATGACCGAATTTGTTGTTAAAATTGTTCATATTCAGATATATAACATTCAATTACTCTTTACAATGGGTAATTGAAGGTGTTTCTTGGAAGTGTCATAACAAATTTATAAATTCATGTAGAGATGAGTTATAAAGAATATAATGAATTACTAACTAATTTTTATCAAGCGGTATATAAACTTTTTATTTTTAAAATTAGATAAACATCATGAATGGAACATTATTGATAAATAGTCTAACCAATTAGTTATCATACTACCATTGATTAAATTTTCGTTAAAGAATAAGGAAATAAATAGACACGTCCAATTAAACAATACTAACTAATAAACCATAAATTTAATTTAAATTTCTGATACCATGCTTTCAATTCATGAAACTCTCATAAGTGGATCTTGGACCGTTCAAAATGCTTGGAAAGCTTAATTTCCAAGTTAATGTTCACTTCAAAAATGCGGAGGAAGATTTTTTGTGAAAGGAATTTAAAATTATGAAAATTATTTTTCAATACAATATAGACAAAAAAAAATCTTCAAATTTTGCGAAAACTGAGGTGGCAGTTGTTTGATTTTCTCTAAACTCATTTTTCCTATTTTAAGTTTTAAAAATTTTCAAAACGGTAACAAATTCGGAACTCTTACGTATTTGATTTTGAAGCAAACGCTAAAAACTATAAAAAGTCATTTGCACCCCTCTAGCCCATGCCGTTGGTTCAGAGCCGCTGCCTTGGCTAAAAATTTCCAGGCTTTCGTCAGACAGAACCGATAAAGGGTTTTTTGGTCCTTTCCGATTTTTCGTACTCCATATAAATATTTCCGACTTTTATCATCCTCTTCAAAATCCTTTGTCCTCCTCTTTGTTTCTGGAAACTTCTGTGAAGAAGCTCCAACCTCGTCACAGTTCAAATCACCGCCTAGCAAATACCTAATTCACAGGTTCGTTAATTTCTGTAAAGTGTATGCAATTTTGTATCTTTTGAGTTTTGAATTTTAAGTTTCGACGTATCATCGTTTGTTTGTGTATCTGCTGTGATTAGTTTGATTCTAATTTATCTTAAAAGGCAGATTAGGGTTTTCTAAAACGTAAAGGTTCTCTAAATTCCGTCTACTAAAAATTCCAAGCGAAACTGAAAAGCCTCTTGGCAATCACGGAACCTAATGGCAAAGTAATAATAGTAGTTAAGCCTTAAGCTTAATTAATTGATACTCAGTTGGTGGATGCTGAATGATTTTGTTTATTTTATTTGTTTAATGATGATTAGTAGAGTAATAACAATAACTAAGCCTTAAGCTGTTTTAACATTTAATTTCTGAATTATGCTGGAAAATAGCCTAATTCATGGAAGGATGGATATGCATAATAAAAGTTGTCTTAAAAGATCTACGGTCTATCCAGTACATGCAGATGAAGAACATAACGTAATGGAAGTAGAAGATCTATATATATAGGCGATACATGAATACCTATCCTTCCTGTATGAATACGCTAGAGAAACCTTTAGAGAAAAAGTAGCAGAGTGTCGGAATGAAGCATGTTCAAATGGAGTAGAATGGATATAGAGTATTCATACAGCTGATGCTAACCAGTTTCAGACTAAGACGTAGCAGCAGCAGCAACAGTAGTAGTCAGGAGTATTTGTTGCATGAATGTGTATGAGTATTTAATGTGCACGCTCTTGAATAATCAGACATCCATATTAGGGATTTATGAATCATGTAGACCAGATCCCAAGTGGTTCAGTGTAAGTAATCACATTAGTAACAGGTGGGAGTTACTATGAGTAAACCTTAAGAACAAAGAGTGTGAGGGAGGAAGAACACCTCAAAGAGAAGAAACCTTTAGCTGTAAATTGACAATGTGGATATTAATGTGACTTTTAGTTAATGCTCAGTGCCTATTGTTCTAGCGTCTATGTTTTTTTTTTCTTTTTGGTTTTTCAATTAGCTTTTGAGTCCACAGATGTAATTGTTTACAAGTAAAGAGGGAAAAGTTATTGCAGATTCTTTTGGTCATGAAATATTCAAATGAGAGTACATTGTTGAACGTGTTTCCTTTCTTGCTGTCCTTCATACCCCTCCCCCCATGGTTAGCTGTAATCATTTATTTGTCTTCTTGCTCTTCTCATTTCAGAAGTGCATTGGTGCATTGGAGTAGAAGCCAGTCCAGCGACTCCCATCATCTCAACATGCCGAAAGATAGAAGGATGAATTCCTTTTCCTTCAACCGGGCAAACGCATCTCCTTATGCTTGCAGCTCAAAGAATTCTGACCTCGAGTCCCAGAAATCTTTGCCACCAGTTGGGAATGAAAGAGAATGGGAAGAAGCTAGGTGTCCACTATGTATGGAGCATCCACACAATGCTGTCCTTTTACTTTGTTCTTCACAAGACAAGGGTTGTCGGCCTTATATGTGCGACACAAGTTATCGACATTCTAATTGTTTTGATCAATTTTGTAAGTCATCTGCTGTAGGAGCTCAACAAGAGGGAGATAATTTATCAGGAACTGCATTCCGCAGAGGAAGTTGGGGGCAAGCATTATCAGGAGCACCTAGGTCTCATGTGCAGCAGCAGCCTGAGCTTGTTTGCCCTCTTTGCCGGGGACATGTCAAAGGATGGATTATTGTAGAGGCTGCTCGTAATTTCATGAACTCCAAAACAAGGAGTTGTTCCTTGGAGACATGCAATTTCGCTGGTAATTATGCTGAACTAAGAAAGCATGCAAGGACTCAACATCCCTCTGAGAGGCCATCTGAAGCTGACCCTAGCCGACGGTCTGACTGGACAAGGTTGGAGCTACAAAGGGACTTTGAAGATGCTTTTACTGCATATCAGGCACCATTTGGTGATGACTTTCCAGGATATGACTTTCTAACTGAGCTGCCTCTCGACGATGGTCAATTTGACCTGTTAGATGGTTACTTAGAGGCTGAGGAGGTACTAAATGAAGACATCAATATGTTATTGGATTTTGAATTTGAGCTCTCGTTCTCTTTCCTGAATGAGTTCTCTTTGGTGCCTTCGGCATGGGATTGGGATGAGTCTCCTAGTTATGCTGGTGGGAGCGCCTATCAATCAGCGAGTAGTTCTAGGTCTCAAAACAGGGGATCTAGAAGATCAGCATCAAGGTCCAATAACCACGAGGCAAGGCCAACAGCTACAAGAAGCACAAATCTGTCATGGAGGCGCAGACCTAGCTCATTTAGGGAACGGAGACGGAACAGATGAATTTAACAATTGGTTATAACTATAGAGTTTAGCTCATGGCTTTTAGTTTGAGTTCCTATTTCTGCTAATCAACAATGAATGGAGGAACTTCCCCTTCCGCGATTCATCTAATCTTTATCTTCAAGTGAACATTGTTATGGTATATCTTGCATTCTTATTATGGACTGTTATAGTGTTGGTCCATGTCGTTCTTTCCTCTAAAAATCCAAATTCCAACTTTGGTATAATTTGCAAGTCTTTCTTCTACATATTTTAGAAGGCTATGTGTTGGTTTGAACTTAATTTACTAGAGCGTATAATGGTTCCACTTTTAGTATCTTCCTGCTCTTCCAGTAACTAGTAGTAGGATAGTGTATAATCATATCAATGAATACATAGCTTTAAAGAATTAGATTAATATTATTTATTTGTTTTAATTTAGTTTAACTGGATACAAAATTTAAGAAAGTAAGAAAAGAAGACTTTTGAAACATATGATCGTGTACATACCATTAATATTTGAGTGACTATAAAATTGTCATTAAAAGTAAAATAAAAACGAATAGGGAGAAGGGTCAAATATACCCATCTACTATGAGAAAAAGATCAAGTTCACCCTTTGTTATACTTTCTGTCTAAAAATATTCTTGTTATTATACAATTGGATCAAATATACCTTCCTCCGTTAAAATTGTCTAAGGTGGACGCTCAATCCCACGTGACAATGACATTTTTGGCCACGTGGCATGCCACCTTATTGGACACATGGCATGCCAGTATAGGAATGCCAGATCTCATGCTCTTGTCATCAATTCCAACAAACTACGATCAATATGCTCAGTTTCATGCCTTAATAGTAAACACTATCGGTCTAAAGAAGAAATCATAGACATATCTTGTTCCCTGCAATAATTTTATGCGGAGACAAGACAATTAGTTTCTTGACACTGGTACAGAATGAAGAACAAGCATCTCCTGCTTCTACTGGATCTTTTAAGTGAAAATGAAGCAGATGCAACAAAAGTGTTGAAGCCCTTATGTCACACCTCCTTTTTCACTACACCCCCGGAAAGGGGCACATGTATAAGAGAGTTTTTCCAATTTAAGTGACAATCGAAACGGGATTATTTTATTTAAAATTCAGAGTTGCCACTTGAGAGATTTATGGTGTCCCAAGTCACCGGTTCAAATCCCGAATCGAGGAAAAGATTGACTCTGTATTACAGTCCGCGAACCAGAAATCCGAGTAAGGAATTCTGTTAACCCGGGAGAAGGTGTTAAGCATTCTCGAGTTCCGTGGTTCTAGCACGGTCGCTCAACTGTTATTATTAGCATAATTATCTGATTTTAATACATGTTTAGCGTATGGTATATTTTAGCTTATTAACCGCTTTTAATTAATTTTAGGAAGATTCAACGTTATCTAAAACACGTCTTGAACCACGCCACATAAAATGCACCCGCGGTCTATGACACATTTTATTTAACGTTGTTGAGATTTGGATTTGGGTTACATGAAATGCACACCCGAGTTTAAGGAAATCAATTTAAATAGTGTGCCTAAAGCAACTACGCACTTTCAAGTTAATAAAAGGTTTGCGAGGGCCATGAAAAATTTAGTAATGACACACCTCGAACTATATAAACTAAATAAATTTAGTGGCCTATTAGCAACACTCCTATATTAAGAAAGTTTAGTAGCACTACACCCACAATGCCTAAGTAATTCATGGCTTACTTCTGTCTTCCTCATCACTAGAAAATATTGCATAAACACTGTTGCTTTGTTTATATTGTATTTAATGCAAGGCGCTAAAAGCCACACTTTGTAACACAAGCAATGCGGCTAATCAGAGTTAACTACATAAGACTAAAAAGAGAGTTGACAAGCAATAGAAGAAAACCCAACGTTAATGGACATAATTAGACAACGCACATAGCAAAACTATTGTAGTTAAATTTCCTAAAGTTGAATTCACCCACCCCGAAAACTTGCTCCTCCTCCTTACTTGCAAATAACCATCAATAATTGTACCCCAGGAAACCACATTTTGAGGCATCTCATTAAACAACATACTAGCATCCTTTAGACACCCACTAAAATAAAATAAATGAAGCAAACCGATGGATAAGTGAACGAAATCCATAACCCCAACTTTCAATACCAACCCATGAAGCATTAAAAAAAATCTTCCTACTTCAATTCTTCAATATCGTTCTATACAAATGCTCTCAACCAACAAATATACTTATGGAATAATACAAATAGACAAACTTATATCTGAGTGTTTAACAAACGAATTAGCCTAACAAATAGACTAGGCATAAATAAGCACATCAAAGAACTGAAATGATGTCAAATTAGGAAGTAAAAGAGAAATGAACCTGAAATAGTCTTTTAACTAACGAAAATTCCAGCGACTAAACGGATGAAACTTACCGTATCTATGTCCGGATCTTGACATTGCGATAAAAGTCCAAATAGAACCAGGATCGAAACTACGAGCCTAACCTCGAACGGCAAACTCGGGATCTCTTGCAAACTCCATACAAGCAAAAATAAATCAATTCCTTGATTCAATTGAATGAGAATTCTTGTCCGCTTTTCTCCTCTACTTGTGTGTATGCCTATTTCTTAAGGTTTTGGTGTTTCAATTTTGTGAAGAAAAAAGGGGTAAGGGTTATGCGGGTCTGATTTTGTGGGAGTTGCGACTGAAGATGTTAGAGTCTAGGGTTGTTTTGTTCAGGAAGAAGAAGCTCGATCTTCAAGGGTCGTTGTTTGGTGTTCGGCGGCTGCTGATCCTTAGGCCTAGGTTAGCCGTTGCTGTTTTTCTTTAATCCATGGTGAATGGGTGGGGCTTTTTGAAGAAGAAAGCAGAACGGTGGGGTAGTTCTTTTGGTGTAACGACTGAGGAGTCTATTCTTAGGGATATCAGGCTTTGTTCTTGTTTCTGTCTTTTTAGCTGAAGGCTGCTCTAGTTGTATATATTTATCCATTGTAGGCGTTGAGTCTATATATCTAGGTCCTAGAGTTTAGGTTTATATTTTGTGTATTTGCTCTTTGGTCCTTAAAGTCTTTTATTTATTTTTGTTTCAAAGAAGAGTCTAGAAGGGTTCCTAGGATTAGCTTAATGAGTATTGGATATTGAGCTTAAGGAATGGGCTAGAAACTTGGGCCTTTATGACTAGCTATGTTTAAAATTAGCTTAATTAACTAAAAATATTATAAAAAATATTAATTAGTTCTACTTAAGTAAAAATAATTATTAAAGAAAAAAGACTGACCGTTAAAGCAAAACTATTTTTTTGTATTTTTTTCAAGGTTAAAAATGACTATAAAACATTAATGAACCTATTTTTTTGTAATTTTTTGTTTTCTTGTAATAAAATAAAGTAAAATAGTAAAAGTGAGCTGAAATAGCTATATTAGGCCTAAATTAAATATTTTACGCTAAAATATAAAAAATCTTAGGGAGCGTCAAAAATTACATGTCTACAGCTACCCCTCTTTGACTGGAAACGCGAAGAGTTTTCAGACAAAGAATGACTAGACATGTTTTTTGACCCGACCCTTATTTGGGGGGGCTAAAACTAAGAAAAAGGGAATGTGACCGAGCCTTGGTATTTGAGCTGCCTACATATCCTTGGCTATAAAGGAATCAAGCCACGTGTAGTTCAGAGGTGAGTGAGATGATGGAGTACCGAGGTGGAGAGCCAGTCGAGGTGCCGTTCTGCCGAGGTTCCGGTCCGTGGTTCCTGTTATTACATCAAAAATCAAATAAAAAAGACTAACTAGGCCTTTCAACTTCAAGTTACAAGATTCCTATCTATAAGTCTTCTGAAGCTTGATCTTGAGTCTTGAATGGTTCTTCATGTAGACTTTAGATTTTAACCTTGGCGCTTGTTAGCTGCAGGTGCTAGCTCGTTCTTCTTCAGCTTTTTGGATCAAGACCGGACCTGTAGTGCTTGTGACTTCCATCATGTCTTAAGTAGTTCACATCCTCCATCAACTTCTGCATTTGGATTAACTTCTTGCCCTTTTCCTTTTTTCTTTATTGTGACTAACTTCTGTTGATCACCTCGGACTGTTGACTCGCATTCTTGCCGTGTGCTTCTTTGGTTGCTGACTTGAATTGCAATCTGAGATGCTTTTCCTTTTCTTCAGGTGGACGCCTCATTGTTGAACTCGAACTGTATTCCCTTGCTTTCCAGGTGGGCGCCTGACTGCTGAACTTGAATTGTATTCCCGTGCTCTCCAGGCGGGCTCCTGATTGCTAAACTTGAATGTATTCCCTGCTCTCCAGGCGGGCTCCTGACTGCTGACTTGAAATGTATTCCCTACTCTCCAGCGGGCTCCTGATTGCTGAACTTGAAATGTATTCCCTGCTCTCCAAGCGGGCTCCTAATTATTGACTTGAAATGTATTCTCTGCTCTCTAGGCGGGCTCCTGATTGCTGACTTGAAATGTATTCTCTACTCTCCAGGAGGGCTCTTGACTGCTGAACTTGAAATGTATTCCCTGCTCTCTAGGAGGCCTCCTGATTGCTGACTTGAAATGTATTCCCTGCTCTCCAGGCGGGCTCCTGACCTTAACAAAATAAACAAAAACAAAGAAAATTTTCTGCCCGTTTGGCGGCTGGGCACAGATGTGAGTGTAAAACTAAATCATATTACCAAGTATTACTAAGAATTTGAAAGCTAGGTCCCATTATCCAGGGGGTCCTGACAATTCTTACCTAAACGATAATTTTAAATCTAAGTTATATCTTCTAAAGGTGTGACTTCCGCTAAATCTTGTTATCTAAGAGGCTCTTAAAGCTATATCCCATTATCCAGGAGGGTCCTGAAAACTCCTAATTACATCTTATCTTAAACATACAAACTTTGAAACCAACTTATATTCCTTGGGGTACATTTATGCTACTTATAATTGTTTCGATTTTTAAACTAAGTCCCATTTTACAGGAGGGTCCTGAGAGTTTACGGTCAAACATGTCTGGTGCTTGCTTTTCCTTGCGGAGGGTTTCTCCGAAACAAATGAAATTTTCTGCCCCTGTTTTAATCAAAAAAAATCTTGTCAGTTTAAAATGCGGTGGTTGGTTTGTACTTTGAGGGCGATTGCTCCTTCACTTCCCATGATAACTAATTTCCACTCGAGGACCTTGCTTGCTTATGGACTAACCACTTTCTTTGTCATCCTTATCACAGAAAATACCCCTTCTCCGTTCAGACCCAATTCCCTTTATCCGTTGCATTGCTCATGAACTGACATTTACCAACCTTTGTATTTCACCGAAAATACCTTTGATCCGTCCACCTAACACCCTCCATCTGTTGCATCGTGCTCTTGTGTTGACATGAATTCCAAAGCACGTTAATTGCCATCCACTTAGTGCGCATGCTGTTTCTTCTTGACTTAAATCACTAGCCTTGGCCTTGAAGTCTATTGTTCCCTCACTTGTCACGATAACTTTGATTTCTGCTTGGAATATCTTGCTTGTCACTGGTTAAACACTTTCTTTGTTGATCTCATCATAGAGAATATCTTTGACCCGTTCACCCAACATCCTCTATCTGTTGCACTGTTCACGAATTGAAATATGTCAAACCTTTGTATTTCTCATGGACTCCAAAGTATGTTGATTGCTACCAACTCAGTGCGCTTGTTGTTCTTTCCTAACGTATGCCACTTTGATGTGCTGGCCAGATACCGTCTTGTACAATTGGAAAGTTGGTGGCAAATTTTGAAGTCATTTCTCACTTATTCTGACCAAACAAACTCAGGAAGAAGAAGTAAACAAGACAAAAGGAACAGAGTAAAGGACAAAGGAAAGAGATGATTCCTAACAAAAAAGCTACAAAGTAGAAACCTATCAGACGTGGATACCAACTCTAATGACCATGACATGCACATGTTGATTAAGTCGCCTAATCTGTCAAACAAGTCTGATGTTCAACTCTTGTTATACCCCTGAACCGTGAAACTGGACTTCAATGCTCCGATTATCCAATCTGATTCACAATCCTTATTCGACTCGTAGTGCCCGAAGGGTTTTCACCATCAAGCCTCTCTCATTCTGTTCTTTCTCTCAACTTACCATCGCCTTACGGTGCCCACGAGGGTTTTCACCAATAAGACTCTCATTTTTGGATTTCTCTCAGCTCATGTCGCCCTACGGTGCCCGTGAGGGTTTTCACCAATAAGACTCTCTCATTTTCATTATTTTTTTGCTTGGACCAGAGTATTGCCCCTGATATGAATTACCTCTCCTTGATTGACTTGGCATCTCTCGAAGACTGATCGGAAGGTCTTTCTTTGGACCGTAACGTGGGCTTTTAAATAGGGTTAAAAAGAAAGGATGTCAAAGGCTCAAAAACAATTCACATGGGTTCAAAATTACAACTTTCGGAATCAGATTTCTTACAACAACCACAACTTCTGCCCCAGTTTCTTGCTTGGGGACTTTTGGATTTTTATTTTGATGAGACCGAACCGTGAGGCTGCCTACGTATCCTTAAAAGGAATCAGGTCGAACGTAGTTCATGACATAGGAATTACTTTGTTGTTGTGATTTTCTCTTTTCTCTTTCTTTTCTTTCTCTTTTTTGCTTTCTTTTTCTCTTTTTGTTGTTTTTATTCTTTTTTTTCTCTTTTTTTTTCCTTTTTTTATTTTCATTTTTCTTCTTTCCCTTTTCATTCTTTTCTTTTCTCCTTTTCCTTTACTTATCTTTCACGCTTATGTTTCTGATCTTTGCTACTGATTCCGAAAGAGGGGTATAAAAGAAAATAAACAAGGCTCAAAGGGGTGACGAAGGATAAGGTGTTTAGATAGCAGAACAAAATGCCATCGCCATTCCAATCTTCAAAACATGCCAAGTACAAACAACACAATTAAACAAACCAAGGAAAGCATTCGTAACATCTTTTGATTGCGCCAGACTTGATGACCATATCCACGCATTTGCCTTCTACATCTGTTACATACAAAGCACAATTGGACAATACTCTCACTCTCACTACCACGAACGGCCTCCCTACATATTTGGGGCAAACTTGCCATTATCTTCACCGGATGCAGCATGATGCATTTTAGTAGGGTTTCTTTATGTTCTACCTGCCCCAGTTTCACACAATTCAGGCTTGAAGTGATCTCAAAATGCCTTTAATTATCCCCCTCAGATGTCCCTATCATCTTCAAAATTGTTTTATTGCTTCATGACTAAACTGACTTTTAAGATCAGGCTGAGAATTACGCGTGCATGTCATGTCACTAGAGTCAACAGGAAAAGAACTATAAAAAGAAAAGAGAACGAAACAAAAATGACTAAAAATAACAGAGAATAGAAAGTTGCATTAGACAGATGGTAAAAGGGTTTGAACAACAAAACAAGCAAACAAAACTGGGGTTACAAACCTAGAACAAACCTAGACAACACTAGACAGGCTACTATGACAAAACAAACTAGGCAAAATAAAAGGATAGAAGGATTTGAGTCACTAGACAATATCCGGATTACAACTCTGAAATAACCCGGACAACAGAAATGACAACAAAATAAACCACCAAAACTCCTCCCTAGCTAACCAAGAAAGGAGCGTCTTTCCAATTGCCAAGCTCGGCATCTTAGCCACTGAATTCCGCATCAACATTACTAGGACCTTCACAAACTTCCATCACATTGTTCTTAACAAATTGCTTTTGGGTTCCCTTTGCTGGCTCGTTCTTAAGATCAACCTCTGATAGCACTGAAAACTTTGCAGCGCGTGGACCTTCGAGGATCTCAGAAGAATTTTCATATTCCTTTTCAAAACATATTATACTCACCATATGCGTCTCATTATGAACATGCGATGGACTTGGTCTAGTGTCTGCTGCATCTGGATTTTTCACGACAATATCACCTGCATCAATAAGCTTCTGAATTGCTTTCTTCAGATTCCAACACTTCTCTATGTCATTCCCCGGGG